TCAATTAATCGATACCGTAGAAATGCTTTTCTTGCAGATTTCTTGTGGCAATGAATGAGGAGACACGTGTGTCGTCGAGCAGGGAAGTTCATCTGGAAACGGTAGCGCGAAAAATGAGTAAGTCGAGCCTTCACCTGACCGTCGCACTGTTTAGATGTCATAAAGAAGCCAAACATTGATTCCAGATGTGGAGAAACGTCGAATTTACGATATCGTTAATGTTATGGAAGCATTGGACGCGATGAGTAAGACGAACAAGTCCTACTACAGATGGCATGGATTGGAGGGTTTACCGAAGCTCATGGCCGATCTTCAGGTTCTGCTGAGTCACACATCTGTCGAGAACCTTGACCGAAAAGGAGATACGAAATGAATTGAATGCGTTTTCAGAAAGAAGCCATAGAGGAACATCTGCCTGAGCGAGTACTCCGTGTTGAACAGGCCATGTGCTCCTTTACCGAGCTTTCGCCGGGGAGCCGAAAAATGGGTGTCAAAGAGATCGTTGGTGAGTTTCAAATAGGCTTCTGGTTGGGAGATTTCGGTGAATTTCATTTGCATTCGGCCTAGTATTCGCTGAAAGAATATAGCAGAAAAGTGGTTGAGGTCTGTGTGTTCCTCTGGCCTTGAAAAATAAGCTATGTAACCGACGTACCCCACACTACCGAAGGTCTTATGGATGTGGAGTTCAGCAATGCATTTTTATTGAGAAAGACAAATAAACAATGAGAATTAGCAAGTAAGGAAATTAGCTGGCTTGAAGCAGGACTCGATCCCGCCGAAATATTAAGTGACTTTAATCGTGTAGTACCCTGGTTGAGTTGATTCTAAAAATTGGGGGATAGAAACTAGAAGTAATCGGCGCTGATCAATCCTGTTAGGCATTCGCTAGGCATTCGACTTCCATTCCCAATCGCAGTAGTGTTTTGGATGAGTTTTGGACTATACAGTGGATTGCGAGGCCAGCCGAGTGCCAATAACCTCCACGTAAGTGTTATTCGCCCTTCTTGATGAATCTATTACCAAACGGAATGCCTACCAGTCAGGAGTTAATACACGCATCGCGATTGCGCGTGAAGACCAGTGGCACTAGTCACTCCACTACTTCAGCATAGGATCCTAAACTTAGGTTTTCAATTATCTGTTGAAAAACACCTTAGAAGTGAAGGGGTTCTTTATTCGAGCTCAAAATCCGCGATTAGAGTGAACAGAACAGCGCACATCCTTCTTCCAATGTACCTAGCTACAGTGAGATTGCTGAATTGTTCCAGGAAGCCTTGTTGGTGAGGACGCAAGCCCATGCTCATCCAGTCAATCGATAGATGTGCTCAATTTATCACAACACAGCGAGGTACCAATTGAAGACGGCATATTCATCTCTTAATTAATTTTGATATCGGTCAACGTGAAGCTCGTCGAACTTTCCTCTAATGGTAAATCCTCTCGTTTAGAAACGTAACCGCGTGGACGGCCGCGATCGGCAAGGTCGAAACTCTCTGGCACAATTATGCAGACGTTTTCTTATGGTGCTACTGAGCAATCCGGTATGATGGTTGTTCTCAATTGCGATGTGAAATTTCAAGTTCTGTATAAGAAAAAAATGTGATCCATCCCGGTTTACTATTCTGACCTGATTCAGAAGAACACAAGACGTGTGAGTTTGGATGTGGCGAGTACTGTGCTCATCAAGGATCCCGAGACCGAAGGTTTCGAGCCGCCCAGTCGAAGTGAGCTTTTTCGGAGACTTCTTTCAAATCACTCACAATCCCTTTCAACATTTTTGCTACACTCTACTATCAATAACTACTGAAAATCATATTCAACAACATTCTTTGTAGAAGGATTGTTTAATAATATTATTTTAAGGTCGCTGCCGACGCCTCTACGATATCGCGAATGTACTGGTCGCACTTGGTCTCATTAAGAAAGTGCATTATCTTTTCGGCACAAAGAAAATCCCACTGTTTGTCTATTGCGGTCCCGAGCAGATGTGGGTTGGTTGGATTTATCCCTCCAACTTCGAAGTAGTGATTCGAATAACATTGGTGAGCTTTGCAGAGAACTCCATCTTCGACGTGAACGCGTGCATTGAACGACTTTTGACGTCAACAAGCAATGCACCTCTTACGCCTCGAATGAAGGTAAAACTACTTTGATGGATGCCAGTTTCAATGCTTTGTGGTTTACCTCTCTTCAAACCTCAATTTTTAGGCGACCACTCGCCTTGAAACATTCGCTGGCTATGGGGAACGAGCTTCCGTAGCGCTAACTTCAGTGTCTGCATCGAATAAATGCCTGTAGAACAGTGAGTACCTAGTCATTTTGGGATTTTATAGAATCAACTTTTTTTTACTTCAAAAAAGAGTTCCTGTTTTTGTTATCACCCGGAGATGTTATGCATCCGGAAGATCATCGAATTCGATCGTACAGCTTAGATCGAATTTCGTTTGACTCTCACATCTTAAGGGTAGGGTGCATTCCGGTGTTCCTGCAAGTATGGAAAGGTGGGGCACATCTCAGAAGGCGTAGCGCTGCAGTGACAAGAAGCACCGATTATAACGCAGACAGTTGAGGGTCAAGTTTCGTACCGACATCTGGTTAAGTCAACAACGTTTCTATCCCTCTACGGTTGTTTGGCTGGTGGCGGGTCCGTACGGGAAAGATAAAAGGCTTAACTCACAGGATGATCCCCATAAGGCGTTTGTTGACAATTGCAATCGCCATTAGAATTAGGAGTAGAAGTAGAGTGCGTACTGCATCTTCAAGAGGGAATAATAAATGCCTAGTGCGTTAAACTTTAAGGTTCTATCCCAAAAAGTCGCCCATCATGGACCTTTCCATATTAAATATGTACTTTATCATACTCGACCTCACCATCACTCCTTCTCTAAAATATGCATCTTTTCTCTCAGCTGTTCACTGATTATTGATTCTCCCTTCAGATCAGAAGACTTCATGTCACAAGCGTCATCATCACTGATGATGTTCGCCGAGCTGGCAGCTGAGCGTCTTCGGCAAGAGACGGAGCTTCATCAGCGGCCAGTGTCGGGTCCAGGAGGAAGACGATGACCGCTACCTCGACAAAGCCTTCTGCCGTACCTTTGACCAGGACGAGTAGCGGACATGTTTTGCCGAAACCACAGGCACAAGTTAGTATTTTATAAGCAACAGTGTTTCTTTATTCTAAAGTTTCTGAAAGGAAGCCAATTTGAAAAGCAATGTTTTTAGCCTAATCTGTTTTTCAAATACGTTATAGCGAGACCTAACGGGTGTGGGTTACGTGACACGTGCATTAATTAATTGCGCTAAATGGAAGAAATGTGGGTTACTGATTAAATCCCTGCAGTACTAGTCCCAGTCTTTCCTTTTAATTGGAGACCAAACGGATCACTTGGTATTTCCTCTTAAGGCAGATTTCACTAAGTAACCAGGCGTCAGCAATGGGTTTTTTCTCGTATTCTTCTTCGTCCACACCTACGGGCGCAGGCAGCCAAGGGTTGGAGTTTCGTTCGCATAAAGATCCACCGGTTTGTATGTTCTATACATGGTCAGGTAGATTTGTGTGGTGTTTTGAAACCTGCTTTGTAAGGGCAGACTATGGGTTGGCTTTTATATATGAGTGACCGACCAACTAATATTGTGGGCAATCACAATTTCAAATGCTCCGACGACTTTGATTGGAGACCCAATGCATGGCGCATCGCTAACAGGAAATTTCCGCCGAGCATCGTTTCTTTTTTGTTTCATGTCAGAATCTTGATTCGGGGTCGGGCAGTTGGCAAATGCTTTCCTTGCAAAAAAAGCTTGTTTATTGGGTGATCCTGCGAGATACTACATTGGCAATGTCCTGTTTAAATGGTATTACGATTTGGAACGGAATAGAAAGAATGGCTCATCCAAAAGACCGACTAGAATCGGGAGATTCGTCTTCTATCCTTTTATCTGTTCCAGATATTGTTATTATTATATGTCAGCATTAACTGTGGGCATATGTTAGGATTCGCTCACTCTTTTGAAAGCGCTCTTAATTTCAGCGTTCGTTTGGGAACTTCTCCATGTCACCATTGAGCTCACCGTTGACTGGTGCCAAGCGATACACCGTCAAGATTGGCAACAACTATCAAATGTCTACGGTACCGATCGCCGGGCTTCAGCCAATTGTTCTACCAACAACGGTAAGGTCTAAATTTGTGCAAGCTCTAACAAAAACAATGTTCTGTACTAACAATGCACTGTTTAGCCTGTCTGGACGACCGCACGCTTTGCCGATTTCATGCAATCGCCAATGACCCTGCCTCGAAGCGGTCCGCTCATTCCTCAGCCGGTGGTCAAGCCTCAAAATGTGCGTTTGTCTTCCCGAGTTTCGTATTCATAGGATTAAGCATTTCGATAAACAGAAACCACGGACGTC